GTGTGTGTGTGTGTGTGTGTGTGTGTGTGTGTGTGTGTGTCCATCTGGGCTCTTAAGCTAGGAGCTAGTGAGAGGGAAAGAAGCATTTAGAAGGAAGAGAAGAATACTACCCTACCCACCCATCTACCCCCACAATAATTGTTTGCTCTATACGTCTAAGTCCAGCTGTGGAGCTTCAGGGAGACATCAACTGTTTTAACTCTGGTGGAGGGACGCACCGAGGCCAGCAGGGAGAGCTATTTGTGAAGAAGGAACACACAAACTTCGTAGATACAGGAAAAGGAACTTAAGTTCCTTGGAAATTAGAACGTTGGTGTATTTATGGCAATAGTACAAATCTGATTGCTTCTGGAAAAAAAAATGTTCTTTGTGAAGTGCAGTCACAAAAGGTTTTTTTTTTTTTTTTTTTTTTTTTTTTTTTTTTTTTTTTTTTCAGTGCAGGTAGCATTGCTACATAATTCCATGCATGCCTGAAGAAACCTCCGGACTGTCACATTAAGAAAGCCAGGCTTGAAGTATGGAGACAGTGGAGTTTCACGTGGTTAGATAAGCCTCGGTCTATACAATTGGCAATGAAAGTACATGTTCTTCTCATTCAGGAAGTTAAATGGAGAATCACGTGATGTTATGTCCTGGTGGAGAAATACTGTGAAGATGGAACTCGGTGGTTACATGGGCTTTTCTCCAAGATGGCCAGGAAAACATCAAAAGTGAAAGGCTTCCAAACCACTCATTTGAGAAAAAGGAAAGCAAAACCTTCAAGCTATTTGATTATAGTCACTATCCCAGTGACCCCTCCCCCCCTTTTTTGAAGACACAAATTGTACTATTAGCTTTCTGTATGAGAAATAATGTTGTCTAGCTCTAGTGTCTGCAAAAGAGACCCATTGACCAGAGCTATGAAGCCTTATAACTCTTGGGAGGACACATTTGAACTTTGTTTCCCTGGGTATTCTTAATCCAAAGATGGGGGTTCTCAGGAAATCAGTGATAAGCAGTTTGATCCAACAATCAAATTGTGTTCAAGTTTCCCATTCATAAACGTAACTTGTTAGGTTGAGTCAATGGACACAATTGGAAGATACTATTATTATTCAGTACTAACATTACCGGCTACCTACATATGCACATATACACATATACATCTATGTGCATGTGTGTGTGTGCACACGCATGTGCACTTGTACACAAATATGTATGCATTACCTGATACTTTTTCTGGGTGCCATAGGGTCTGGCAATTAGATTTTAAAAATGTTACAAATTCCAGAATCACATTCTGTTTTCAACTCACATGTCTTAAAAACAACATCATTTGGGGGGGTCCCATAATCAAAAGAAAATAAGACCATTAAAATGGACCTAACTTGCTGGGCCCCCTGTGGAAGTTTCCCCAGGAGCATAAGGGAATTGTGGAGTTGGGAGCGGAAGCGAATACAGCAGTGTTTTCCCTGGTATCTTGTGCCTCTTCTTCCAGCACTCTGAATTTGTTCTTTGGGTATTAAGAATTTTTCTCTGCTGCTCTCCAGGGATTTCAGTTAGCTTGTTTTGGAGATGAAAGTGAGTTGATGAAAAAGAAATTATGGAAATAAAAGCCTATATGCCCAGAAATCACTGCTGTCTTTCATTTCCTAGTTGTTTTTTTTTTTTTTTTCATCCAGCATTTCCAAAGTCCAGTTAATGGAAGCAGCAGTGCCCTTCCTTTACTATCTGGGACTTCATTTTAATTTTTGAGTTTCAAATGCTTCAATCTGTAAAATATTTGTGAGACATGTTCATGTATTTGCTTTGAGGATTACATGAGTGATTGAGTTTTGGGTATTTAATGGGTGTTCAGAATATTCATCCCTCTTTTTCAAATACGCAATTCTTGATGTTACCTACTATCTTGTCACTGAACCCTTTCTTCCAAACTAAAGCAACACACCTCTAATTTGTTTTATATTCAACAGAAGATTTGGATATGTTGTCTGTGATTAGAATCCAATGGTCAAATGCATGGAAGAGGGCTTTGTATGCATCTCATCCTCCCTGGAAACCTGTTTTTCTTAGTTATTTTTCTATTCCTGGGATAAGACACCATGATCGAGGCGACTTATAAAAGGAAGTGTGTAGTTGGCTTACAGTTTCAGAGGGTTAGAGTAACTGTATGATGGTGGAGAAAAGGCATGGTGCTGGGAACAGCTGAAGCAGCAACTGAGCACTCATGTCCTGATCTCGCAAGCAAGAGGCAGCGAGAGGAATCATTCGGAATTCAAGAAGTCTTGAAACCTCAAAGCCCATCTCGCCCAGGGACACACCTCCTCCCACAAGATCATACCTCCTCATCCTCTGAAACAGGTCTACCAAGTGGGGACCAAGCATTCAAATATATGAGCCTGTATGGAGGCCATTCTCATTCCAACCACCACCACATTGCTCCCAGAAAGAATTTGAAAGTCTTTGAAAAGAAAACTGCTCAACTTTATTTGGCAACGTTTCCTCGTAGACGCCCCACTGCCAATTCACCAATCCTTTTAATTCTTCATGGAAACAGGATTAACATTGCACAGGCTATAGACATAGTGGACAGCCTTGTCTTGTTCCTGATTTTAGAGGAATCACTTTGAGTTCCTCTCCATTTAGTTTGATGTTGGCTGTTAGTTTGGTGTATATTTCATTTATCATGTTTAGATATGTTCCTGTTATTCCTGTTCTCTCCAAGATCTTTATCATGAAGGGATGTTGGATTTTGTCAAAGGCTTTTTCAGCGTCTAGTGAGATGATCATGTGGTTTTTCTTTTCCAGTTTGTTTATATGGTGGATTACATTGATGGATTTTCGTATGTTGAACCATCCTTGCATCCCTGGGATGAAGCCTACTTGATCATGGTGGATGATTTTTCTGATATGTTCTTGGATGCGGTTCACCAATATTTTATTGAGTATTTTAGCATTGATGTTCATGAGGGATATCGGTCTGTAGTTCTCTTTCTTAGTCATATCTTTGTGTGGCTTGGGTATCAAAGTGATTGTAGCCTCGTAGAGTTTGGCAATATCCCATCTGCTTCTATTGTGCGGAACAGTTTGAGGAGTACTGGAATTAGTTCTTGTTTGAATTTCTGGTAGAATTCTGCAGTGAAGCCATCTGGCCCTGGGTTTTTTATTTTTTTA